TTGTCAAGGCAGAGAAGTGCGAGTTTCATACCACCTCTACTTCCTTCCTTGGTTTCATCATCTCTCCCAATAAGGTTATTGTGGATCCCTGCAAAGTTACGGCGGTTCTAGAATGGCCCACCCCTACTAATCGTAAACAACTACAAAGGTTCCTGGGGTTTCCTAATTTCTACCGCCGTTTTATCCGCAACTACAGTCAGGTTGCCGCCCCTCTTCATGCCATAACCTCATCTAAGGTTAAGTTTGTTTGGGGTAGTCAAGCAGAGGAGGCTTTCACCAAGCTCAAGACACTGTTCACCACTGCCCCAGTTCTCCGGTCCCCTGATACTGAGAGACAATTCATAGTGGAGGTTGACGCCTCTAGCACTGGGGTAGGTGCGGTCCTGAGCCAGAGGACCTCGGATGGTCGGATTCACCCTTGTGCCTTTTTTTCTAGGACATTGTCACAGGCTGAGCGTAACTATGATGTGGGGAATCAGGAACTCCTGGCAGTTAAATTAGCCCTTGAAGAATGGAGGCACTGGTTGGAAGGGTCAAAGGAACCGTTTCTGGTCTGGACTGACCATAAGAACCTGGAGTACTTGAAGTCTGCTAAGCGCCTTAACTCCAGGCAAGCCAGATGGGCCCTGTTCTTCGGACGATTTAACTTTGTCCTTTCTTTCAGACCCGGAATCAAAAACATGAAACCGGATGCCCTGTCCAGAATTCATGAACCTTCTGAGCTGATGACCAGTGGAGCTGGGGAGTTCATTCTCCCAGAGGCAGTCCGGTTGTTTGTTACTATGTTGGAACTGGAAGGAGAGGTCAGGGATGCCATAAGGGACTTTCCGGTCCCCACTTCATGTCCTCCAGATCGACTGTTTGTCCCAGACCGCCTGGTCCCCAAGGTACTGGACATGTGCCACTGCTCCCGTCTTTTCTGTCACCCAGGAGTCAGTAAGACGATACAGGTGGTCCGCTCGCAGTTCTGGTGGCCATCCCTGACAAAGGATGTCAAGGAGTTTGTTGCTACCTGTCAAAGATGTTGCCAAGCTAAGCCCTCCCGCCGCCCACCCTCGGGGTTGCTGCGACCCCTTCCGATCCCATGCCGTCCCTGGTCTCAAATCGCCATGGACTTTGTCACAGGTCTGCCCCCCTCTAATGGTTTCACTGTCCTGTTGACTGTCATCGACAGGTTCTCCAAGATGGTTCATCTGGTGCCCCTCAAGGGACTACCATCTGCTAAGGAGATGGGGGTGGTCTTAGCTCGTGAGGTCTTCCGTCTTCACGGCCTGCCCAAGGACATTGTCTCGGATAGAGGACCACAGTTTGTTTCCAGGTTCTGGAGGGAGTTTTGCTCCATACTGGGCATATCTGTCAGTTTATCTTCCTCCGACTGATGGACAGACGGAGAGGGCCAACCAAGAGATCGAAACCAAGCTTCCCATTCTCTGTGAGTCTGACCCAACCAAGTGGTCTCACAACTTGCCATTGGTGGAGCAGGCTATCAACGCTCTCCCGTCCTGTACCACTGGTCTTTCCCCCTTCTATGTTGTTTATGGTTTTCAGCCACCGACGTTCTCGATTCAAGAAAGGGAGGCCAAAGTCCCCTCTGCCTACGCCGCTGCCGTCAGGTGTCAACGTATCTGGAAGAGGGCCAGGAGGTCCATGATCAGGATGTCTGGGGTTCAGTCCAGGTCTGCCAACCGCCATCGTCTACCCGCTCCCGACTACCAGGTGGGCCAGAAGGTCTGGTTGTCCTCTAAGGACCTTCCCCTGCGGGTAGAATGCCGTAAGTTGGCACCCCGCTTTATCGGCCCTTTCCCAATTGCCAAGGTTGTGAACCCAGTGGCTGTCCGTCTCCAGTTACCCCGGTCTATGCGGATTACACCCACATTCCATGTGTCCCGGGTGGAAGCCCTATGTCCCACCTCGCTTTGGGCCCACCTCTGACCTCCCTCCTCCGCCCCGGTTTTTGGATGGTGACCCTATCTACACGGTCCGCCGTATCCTCCGATCCAGGAGGCGGGGACGGGGGGTCCAATATCTGGTGGACTGGGAAGGATATGGACCAGAGGAACGGACTTGGATTCCAGGCCGTTTTATCCTTGACCGGACTCTCATCAGGGACTTCCACCACCTCCACCCTGATCAGCCTGGTGGTCCGTCCGGAGCCGGACCTTGAGGAGGGGGTACTGTTATGATTCTGGCCTGTCTACATGCTCTGCTCTCCCTGTGAGCAATCATCTCCAGCTGCTGCCTGCTGCACTGCAGTGCAATCAGCAGAATGTCTCTCACCTGTGTTCAAGCAGTTATAAGACAGCCTGTGGCAGGCAGACAGGGCCAGATAATTGCAAACCAACTAGCAAGCAGTATCCAGCACTTAAAGTTACCTGACCAAGTCTTTGCTTCACGGATTTTCCCTTTTTGCCTAGCCCTTTTTGGATTTCTCTGCCCTCTGGACAACGACCCTGTTTCTGCCTCTTGACTTCTGCCTCCTGCCAAGCTCCCTGTTCACTAAAGCCTGAGTCTGGCTTCCTGGACCTATTCCTGCCTCTGTGCTCCAAGCCACCCAACTGTTGGCCACCCAACAACAGTTTTAAGGAGAAATCTGCTCTATTCATGCTGCTGAAGGGAGGACTCTTTTAAGAAATCCCTGACCCACGGTGGATGTGCTCCTGATGTCTGATGAGTTTTTAATAAACTGTTTAAATCCTTATTCTGTGTTCTGGCTGAAACTTTGGGTCTTCTGACTGGATCATTACAATATTTCTATTTTATATGATTGTTATATTTCTATTTTATATGATCTGTATATTAAAAATTTCAACAAAGCACAGGATACTACATGGATATTTGACATTTACATTTTGAAATGTAGTATTTTTTGAAAATTTAAACTTACATCTTTCTACAAGAACATACTGTGTACTTGTAAAAATGTATTTTTGTTTTTTTTACTTAAAAGAGTCATGACAACCAATTTTATTTTTCCTGCAGTTTCTTGCATTTAATATGATCTGAAAACTGATTCGGTTCCTGCCAAACAGAAGTCCCATGATGGCGGCACCATATCACGTCAGCGCTCATAGGCAAATGTGGAGTATACTCTAATATTATGTCCATGTACCATACTCTTTTACAGAGGACGGAAGTCTGACCTGCCTAAACAACCTCCTACAAAAAGGCTGTGTTATTTCTTAACATGAAATTTACATATGCAGCAATACCAACTACATCAAGTAGTTTATATCGCACCATCCCATTAGTATTGATTAAATTCACTCACAAAGACAATCAAAATAAAAATATTTTAAGGATAAAATAGTGTGTTCTTAGGAAAGTTTATATTTCCAATAATAGATTATTTGGACAACTTTGAAGTGAACAGATCCTCAAAAGCTGGTCATGTTCAAAGAGCCATAAGTCCCAAAACAAGATGACACCAGTTTGTGTAGCATGCTCTGTAATGGTGCATTCAGATCATGCGCGGTGTCCTCTGTGATTTCCATTGGCCCCGCAGGTAGTTCTCTGCTCTGCATTCAGATGCAGTTTTACACCCTAAAACGCATCGTCAAATAGGAGGAGCTTCAGCTGCATGAGGCTGAAACCCCACTGATGTGGAAAAAAAACTCAGTGAATAAACTCTATGGTTAGAGCTTCTATAGAGCAAGTTTTGAGCATTTTAAATGGTCATTAGCCAAAAAAAAAGAAGAATGATCACATGTGCTGCTGCTGTTTTAGAGATAATAAAGATTATCTTTTTAGATCACCCAGAGGTTAACGATCCCTCATTAAGCTCCAAAATATTAAAAAACAAAGATCTAGCCCACTTTCCCAGGGCTGCTTTATTTCTGCAGGTGAAACTGTCATTTCTGCTGATTTGTTTTACATTAATTATTTTTTATTACAGCTGATGATGTCACCATCCCAGCAAACGTTAATGCTGTTTTGTTTCCTGATAAAAAGCTATTGCATATCATTACATGTCATTCCTGAATATAACAGTGGGCATGTTGACCTTAATTAGTGGAATGATTATTTAATATTTAATCTTCAGCCTCCTAGAACCCTCTACTATTCACCTACCGTTACCCCTGGCAACCCCCTGTCATTTCCTGTCAGCATTTCACGATAAAAGCACAGGTGAACCTTAACATCACAGACTTCTGTTGAATTGTTCTCTATAAAAAACTTTAAAATCTCCTTGGGGAGACCATCAGTTTTTGAAAACTCCAAAAGTTCTGAAAAATAGATCCACTGTGGTTCATCCAGAAGAAGCTCTGACTTCCTTTTAAGCACTTGATTGGCAGCCGTATAACAATTTATAGAAAAGTTCAGCTGGTTATATCTTCAGTGATCACCGCTCCTCTTTCTACATGCGGTGCTGCTGTTTGACACCTCAGCTCTATCTAGCAGCACTGGGTGAGGGCGGGGCAGTGAACGGTCTGACCACATGGGATTCACCACTAGCCACTGTAGTTTCCTGAGTAATGAAGCCATAAGCTTGATGCTCTTTTCCCCACTGTAATATGCTTGATAGTAAAAAAAAAAAAAACAGTAGAACTTTTTAATAAAAAGTTCTACTGGATAATAACAATAAAAACTTTTTATTGCCTACCAGGAGTGGGTGACAATAGTTGAATAAACTTATGGCTCTCAAAATGGTATCGGTGCCCTATTTGTTGGTACTCGCCGATACCAATACCACCATTTTAGGGCAGTATCGGGGCCCTGTCCGATACTGGTATCGCCACGGACAACACATCCGGTCTGACATCAGTTTTTTTCATGTTTTGTTGTTGTTTTGCTCCTTTTATTGTGTGTCATACAAAACAGCAACAACTCATTGAGATGTGATCTACTGATAAGAAATGGCTAAAACACCTCCCAGTGTAGATTTCAGTTGCAAAAAAAAAACATCCGGTATCAAAATGAACTGAGTCTCACACACAGTAGAGTACAAAACAAAAAAATAAATTATTCTGTCTGAGATATATATAAATATATATTTTACTTACCCTGCAATTAAGACCCATCTTGATATTTTCAAAGAAATAATGTTTCTTAGCCTCTTCTTCTTTCATATTGTTGTACGCTGTTTTTGCTTCATAACCAAACTTCAAGAATTTCTTATTTTCATCAAACAGGATGCAGGTTGGAGCCTTTGGGGATTCCAGTCCAAGTTCCTTACCCCATCTCTTTATCTGGGTCTCACCTCCTTCCTTTTGGGGATTGACATAGTAAGCATAGCCAGTGTATGCTGAACCGATGTCTATGGCTATGATGAAAGAGTCAACCCCAGCTGGATGGAGAGAGAAGAAAGTTAGAATCTGACGGTATCTGTTTTTTTTTTCTTTTCATGCACTCTTTTCTGTCACTATTTCATTCTCTCTCCCCTTACTTCTTATCCCCTCTTATTTTTTCACCTTCCTTTCTGTCACGGTTTTGGTTTTGTTCAAGTTTTATTTTGAGTTTTCATTGGTGTTATTTTGATTCTTGTGTTCCAGGTATTTTTGATTGTATTTGAGTTATTGGATATTCCTGTTTGCCCTCCTGTGTCAGTCTCCTTTTCCTCAGCTCCCTTCACTGTTTTCTGGTTTGTCGTCATTACTTTGTCCCCTTAGTGTTGTGAGTATTCTTGGTTTTGAGCATTTTTGGATTTTTGTGGATTTATGTTTTGGTTTCTGCTTCTGTTAAACTTTTGTCATTAAAACCTTTAAGTGTTAGGAATCCAGTTTGTGTGGGTTGTGTTTTTAGTGTTTTCTCAGTGTTTTTCTTGCCTCATTATCTGAGGACTCTTAAGCTACCTCGACACCAGAGTGTTTGCCAGTTTTGGGTACTCTAGCCAAGCTGAGTTTTGCTGAGTCAAACTGAGTTTTTTTTTTTGTCTCCCTGAGTCTTAACCTTGTTGTTTTTGTCTTTGCCTCTCGGCAGGAAGTCATCCTGAAAACTGGATGTTTGGATCTTCTCCCCCCGAAAGGATTGTTTGAGCATCACACTGAGCAGGGGATTCATCTCCACACGAACCGTTCAAATACCTCAGGAAATCTAAGTGGCAGTCAGCTCCACCGCTCCTCTAGAAACCAACTTAACCTGGGTAAACCCTGTCCGCCCTCCAACGAGTCAACCAATTTCTGGAGCAACCCACACCGACTGGATTCTTGGCAAGACACCTTTTCTGGAAACGTGAGTCCAGTTGCTGTTTCTGCTTTTGCAAATTGTAGCTCAAATTTCCCATTGAGCCTAAACTAAACACTGAACTTCCCTTTTCACTTCCAGTGCCGGTTCACCAGCCTTCACAGTAACACTGGACCCATCTCGACTTGTTTTCAATAAACCTGTTAAACCTTCCCCCGGTTCCTCTAAGTGGTTTCCTGCATGTGGGTCAGATCGCTGAAAAAGATCATGACATTAAGTTACCACCTCAAGCGTTTGTCTCTGCATTTGGGTCTTGTCAAACCTCCAGCCCCACTATGACATTTTCTGTCACTTTTGTATTTGATTTTACTCCTAAAATTAGTTCCAATAAAGTTTGATATACAAGTCCCAATCTTTATGGCCACAGTCACAATGGTCTGCTTTTGAAAGAATTCTGTTGGGCCATAATTTAGCTTTGGGACATCTGTCATCTATATTCCCGGAGCTAAATGACCCAAAAAAATGTAGAAATCCTGTAGAAATCTGTAAATGGACTTAATTTATAGTGCATTTCCAGTCATACTAACCACTCCAAGCACCTTATACTACAGAAATATTTATCTATTCACACTCAAATTAACATATGATACACAGATAATCTGATCCAATCCACTTTATTTGTATGGCACATTTAACAACAGAACGTTTCCAATGTGCTTTACTCAACAAATAATAAACAGCAACACAACAATACATGAACACAATACAACAATCAATAAACTAAAAAGGACACAGAGGACCACACAAACTACACTTTGTTAAAAGTCAAAGAGTAAAAGTGGGTCTTAAGACGAAACCTAAAACACTCCACAGTAGAGGCAGTCCGTATATGCAGGGGCAAAGTATTCCAAAGTCAGGGGCCAAATACAGAAAAGGCTCTGTCCCCTCTGGTTTTAAGCCTCGTCTTAGGCACTATTAACTTAAGATGGCCCTCAGACCTCAGAGCACATCCTGGAGAATAAATCGGGAGGAGGTCAGTGATGTATTGAGGACCCATCCCATTCAGGACTCTTAAAATCAATTCTAAAACAAACAGGGAGCCAGTGCAAAGACGCAAGAACTGGTGTAATGTGTTGATGTTTTCTGGTCCCTGTTATGAGAGGAGCCGCTGTATGCCTGAATAAAGTGCATTGCAGTAGTCCAGACGTCTAGAAATAAAAGAGTGTAAAACCTGCTCAAAGAGGTTAAAAGATAAAAATGGTTTTACCTTAGATTAAAGACGGAGATGCTAAAATCACAATTTTAAAACGCTATTTTTTTGTTCGTTCAGTTTTTTTTTACTTTGGAACGAACAAAAGGTCCCAAGTCAGAGATATAACTTCCAAACACCATCACCTCTGTCTTGCCCTCATTAAGCTTCAGAAAGTTTTTTGACAGCCAAGCCTTGACATCACCCAGACAGTCATGAAAGGGTGTCAGGGGGCAGTGGCTGTTTTTAGCAATTGACAACTAAAGTTGACAGTCATCACCATAGAAATGGTACGCTATACCATGTTTGATAAAAATCTCTTTGAGAAGAAGGAGGTAAAGTGCAAACGATAAAGATCCCAGGATAGAACCCTGAGGGACTCCACAATAAAGGGGACAGACTATAATGTGCAGTCTGCCAGCCTGACAGAAAAAGACCTCTCTGACAGGTAGGACCTAAACCATTGCAGAGCAGTCCCCCTGACACCCACCCAGTCCCTCAGCCGGTCTAAAAGAACTGTGTGGTCAACTCTGTCAAAAGCAGCAGTAAGATCTAAAAGCATGAAAATGGCTGAACTACCAGAATCAGATGTTAAAAACAAATCATTAAAATCCTTTAACAGTGTTGATTCAGTACTGTGAATTTTTTTGTACCCTGACTGAAAAGGATCCAAAATGCCAGCTTTGTCTAAAAAAGGTTGCACCTGTGCCAAGGCACATTTCTCTAAAATCTCTGAAACAAGCAGCAATTTGGAAATGGTATAATTTGTGGTATCCAAACTAGGTTTTTTTTTATCAGTGGTTAAACAGCCACTTTTTTACAGAAAGAAGGCACAGTTCTAGAAGACAGACTTCTGTTGATTATCTCACAAACAACGGGGCTAATGGTGTCTCAAACGTCCATAAAAAAGATAGGAGGGACCGGATCAGTGGAACAGGAGGACGGTTTAACTTTCAAACAATTTTTCTGTTAAAACAGCTAGAGAGACAGGCTGAAACTGTGTAAAGACAAATGAGCAGCAATTTACTACGGAGGGACTCATAATAAAAGCTGATATATCCGCCCTGATAATATCCACCTTTTTGATAAAAAATTGAAGGAATTTACTACAAGTTTCTTCTGTCATTTCCAGGGAAGTGGAGGGAATAGGATTAAAAACAGAGTCAATCGTTTTAAAAACAATGCAAGGCTTGCTGAGATTATTTAAGATTAGATCAGAAAAATAATTGTTTCTCTCAACCCTAACCACCCTCTGGTACATTTTCCAGCTCTCTTTAAGAATCTGGTACGAGACCTCAGTTGCGCCAAGCTGCGTGCATATTGTCATTGAGCCATGGATCATGCTTTGGCTTGGGACGCATGACTTTACATGGAGCAACAAAGTCCAAATCTGAAATAAAAGAGTTAATCGAAGGCTCTGTGCCAAATGCAGCAGAATTTAACAGATTCTGTGCAGGAGCTAAAAAACTGTGAGAAAAAGAAATGGCGGTGTCAGATTTTATGAGCCAACCATGACGCACTACCGGCATTTTCCTGTCAACAGCAGAAAGCCATGAGTTAAAACAATGTCCAAAGTGTGCTAATGGACATGCGTGCTGCAAGTGACATGTTCGGCGGCCTAGTGGTTAGGGCATAGGGCTTTGAAACCTGAGGTTGTAGTTCGATCCCTGACTCCCACAGCTGCCACACGGGGTCCCTGAGCAAGACCCTTAACCTCACACTGCTCCCCAAAGGGATGGGTTAAATAAAGAGAATTGAATTATATTATATTTTTTATGTTCTGTCAAATTAAAAGCCTCAATCAGATCTAAAAACTCTCTGGCCATGGGTTTTGATGGGAAGCAGACCTGAATATTAAAATCACTAACAATTAAAAACTTGTCATAGCGTGGCAACATAAAAGCAACAAAGTTAGAAAAATTATCAATAAAATCTTTGTTGTATTTTGGCGGTCTATGAACAACAGCACACAGTACTGAGGCAGCTTGTCGCAGCTCAAAAAAGCTTAGTTCAAAAGATGAGAAAGACCACTCAGATATCACTTTGTGATACACACAGTTCCTCAGAACAACCGCTATACCCCCGCCTCGACCAGCGGTTCTTGGTGTGTTTATAAAAGTACAGTTCAGAGGTAGCAGCTCTGAGAAGGCAGTGGATTCACCGCCCTTGATCCAAGTGTCATTTAAAAACAGTAAATCCAAGCAACAAGACGTAAAGAGGGCCTGAAGAATAAAAGTCTTGTTTACCACCGATCTCATATTTACAAGTGTGCATCTTGTGGTAGCAATTGTCAAGTTAGTCAGCTGAGCTGCCTGGCTCAGCGGCCATAAATCAGGCAAGCACACACCACTTGAAATCTGGAAAGAAGGGTGATGAGGGCGCAACGTGCAGATATCTTCCTGCTGTCCAATAATGGGCACTTACCAAACGCCCACTGGAGCCAGAAAATGCCGGGAAATAAAGAGGCTAAAACAATCCCTGTAATCCAAAGGGAGAGAGGTGGCCCACACTGTGTTAGCAGAGAAAGCCAGCAAGGCTTTCAACTTTACCAGTCGGCCCACCTGCCGTCCACGGCGTTTGCGTTTTTTGGGCAGGGGTGCATTTACCTTACACAGGTAGTCAGGTAGAGCCGATTATACACCAACAGTGAGTCAATGGTCCTTGTGACAGAGGTTAAAATTAAGAAAATACAAAGAAGAATCAGGAGAGTCAAACGGCGACACAGACACACCGGCCCCATTTTTAACTCCACAGATATGTAAACAGTTTTGGGATAATTGCCTTTCCCAGTGGCACAATAACATTAAATTGCCTTAATTGCAAGACCACTTCTGTACTTACCTACTAAACCACTGTTGAGGTACAGGGAGAGAATTACTTATCACTAAGCTATACTTCAACATTTTAAAGGTCAGTATTATGTGTTTTCCATGACATTCAATATTTTTAAAGCACAATCAAGTTCAAATGTTACCATCAGTAAAAAATGCTGTATACATCAACTCGGCAAAGTCATCAAATCCTTTACCAATGTCTAAGTGCAAACACTATTGCACTAAGAAATGCCAGTATTTTGGGCTCCACCAGTTGCACCAGGTGTTTAGTAAATTGCTGCTGGCCAGTGTGAAGGGGTTGAATAGGGAAGATGGGTTTAAATGCAAGTTTAACCCTGGTTGCTTGTTGAATCGTTTGACCCGAGTCTACATGGGTCAGTGAACTGCTCCCCGCTAATAGCCAATTGTTGTTGGGTTTAAACTGGCTTTTCGTCCAGTAGGAAAGGAGTAAATCTGCACAGGAGCTTCATCCCGAAGGCAGCGCTGGGTACACCCAGGTGTTTCTGTAAAACTGAATGATTGCCAAGGGAGATTTCTCAAAAAAGCAAGAGGTTATAACATTATAACACAATATAAAGATTAAAAAAAAGACACCACCTCTTTAAAATATTTTCATATACCACTTTAAAAAAATTTAATTGTTTTAGGGCATATTTTTATCTGGTACTCATTTCCTCTAATAGTTCTGTTTTCTTACTTAAAAACCACATTTAGCCAATTAGGAACTCTCCTATTATGATAGGTAAAATATAAAACTTAAATGTAAAGCACTTACCTCTGACACTGAGCAGCACTTCTTTCTTGACCAGAATTTTCCCCCATGTGTTGGAGATGGTGCAGGTGTAGATGTTGGTGTCTTTGTCTGTGGGGTTCTTTAGGATCAAACTGAAGTCTCCATATTTTAAACCCTTCTTCAGTTCTGTTCGCTCTTTGTACAGCTTATGTTGTTCTTCAAGCTTTGTGAAACTGCCCTGATGAATGTGAACAATCTGGCCGGTGTTATTTCTCCATCTTATGGTGACATCTTTAGCCACACAAGTTATTGATTTACAGGGCAGCGTAACAGACTGCAGTGCTGAATTCACCTCCACTTTGTAGACTGAGGAAACACAAACGAAAGAGTCAGTGGTTCTGACAACATAGCTCAGTTGACAGTGTCTAACTTCTCCTGTTAATAAGGTAAAGCCCTGGGGAGCGTCCGGCTCCAGGCTGCACGTGATCCAAATGAGCCAATGAGCTGTCAGTCTGGGTTGCTGCTGCTGCTACTTTTAGACACAGCAGGCAAACCTGTGGCAAGCCGGGCGATGGGAAAGAAGGAGAAGACCATGAGAAAAAGAGAGCAGAGAAAGTGTGGACTGCTGGAAGAACTGTGGTGAACTGGTGAAAGAAAAGTGAAATGGCGTGCTCAAAGATGACCCTGCACATTTAGAGGATGTTTGGCTCAACCTGCTGCTGTGAAGCAGGATTCTCCACCATGAACAGAATCAACAATAAATCTGGATCCAGGCTCAAAATGAGCTCCTTGATATGTGCTTGAGAATGGCTTAGTCTCCGGTTAAACCCAGGTTTAAAGCCTTGCAGGGCAGCCTAAAGCCCACTGCCAACATTAAGACAAATAACAAACCATCACTTATATAATATGGGAATCCATATATATATATATATATATATATATATATATATAAATATTATTTTTTTTATGTATTTTAAAATTCAATGTATAACATGGATGCATAAAAAACAAATTTTATTTCAGTGTTAAATTCTGTTTAAAGTAACAGATTATAATAAAAAATGTCTCCTGACCTTTACTGATTGATGATTTTCTTTATTCAGACGCTGCTGATCTATCAGATCAGTGGGGTTAAAGTATTATTCATGTGTATTTAGGACAATTCACAGCACTATAAGGTTCTGATAAAATATTCAGGTCAAAGGCGCAGAGAAAGTTGGAGGAAAAAGGAACAAAAGAGAAGGAAACCAGTTTGCAAGCACAGCCTTAATAAGTCCTGCTCTAGTGCAGCGTTACCATGGATGCTCCAGTATGCATTAGGATTAATGAGGAAGGACCAGGGACTGTGTAGTGGTCGGCTGGCCAAAGTGTCAGCCCCATGATAGAGCTATGTTCCATAGATAAGTTGGTCCAGACTACTACTGAGGGTCTGCCTCTCGCTCTTTCATAATTTGACCATGACACAGCTCCATGGGGGTAAACAAATTTGCTGCCACCTATTGACCTGTTTAATCCCAGATCATGTGGGATACAAGAAAAAACAATCTAAATAAGATTATGAATCAGACGGGGAAACTTTCAGGGCTCAGTTTCAGGTACTGGCAGCTGCCAGCAGCTAGTCGCCAGATGAAATAGCTAAATCTGTTAATACTATAGCTAGCAAGAGGCTAGAGCAAGAGCATGCAGCATCACATGTAAGTGATCTACATATTTGAATAATGTTGCTGAGTCCGATTCCCCTCTTGTGAGTTATAGTTTAGTAATTAAATTAGATTAAAAACTCTTTCTATTCACTTCCAGCCGCTACCAGCGGCAACAGGAAATCCCCCACAGGCTGGCTGCAGCAGAGAGCTTTCAGCTGGGATTTCCAGCGCTGCTTCCCGGCGGGATAATGGAGCTCACAAGAACTGCAGATTATAGTGGGATTATAATCCTGATGAACTGATGAACAGAGGATGATTGGAGGTGGAATTTCCCACTTAACAATCTGTTCGGACTATTTTTCCTGTACCCGCTCCCAAGAAGGAATGCCTATTGAATGAGCGTCAGAGCGTGCATGAGCCCATTTCTCCACGTGCACGCTCTGTTTAGAAGTTGCTGTTTGCATCTCTCATACAAGCTTACTTTGCAAAAGAATGTTTGGAATTTTTCCACTATGTCAGACTCACCACCGGTAAGTGTAAATGGGGACAAACACGTAGGACGGCCTTACGTAAACATATCACCTTTGACAGTGAGGAGGACCAGTTATTTAGATGATCCACCTGGAAAAAGAAAATCATCCCCTATATCTTTAATGACTTATAATAATAACCTGCGCAGCATAAACACTCTGTTGCTGTTGATTTTTTTTAAAGCTGCAAGTATCTAAAGGGATTTTCAGTGGCATCTGTTTTTCTTTTTTTAAACCAACCTATCCCGTAAAGCTTTAGAGATAAAATGCGAAGTAGCTGCCAGTTTAAATGTACTGCTACTGTATGCTGTCTCCGATCACTAGAACGTATAGTGAATAGCCACTGCCACTGATATAGGCTGATTTCTCAAAGTGACAGATCTAGAGCCGTTAGAGTTGGGAGTCTGACCTACAGGGCTCGGGGACAGATCTAGATGTTACATCAGTACGCGGGAATTTGGAGCAGTGGGAGAGCAAGAAAAAAACGTTGACTGAAAATGAACACAGACAGATGCACCTGTTGTAAGTTTCTGTTGGATAAATCAAATAAGTGGAAAGGGGAACAAAAGTGCACAATATTGGTGGGGATGTCCACACCAGTCCTTCAGAAAGTTCCGCCTCTGCAGCAACATAAGCTTCATCATTCAAGGTAAAGGGGGCATGGTTAGGGTGTCCTGTCCTCTATTCAAATATGTGTTACCAATGACACACATATAATAACAATTCTAATCATTATAAGATTTATATTTATACATCTCATTCCATCTGAAGCAGATTTCAGTCCTCAGAACCAGTTTTGGGCACGTTACTTTGAAAAAGTAATTAGTTATAGTTACTAGTTACTTCTCCCAAAAAGTAACTGAGTTACTAACTGAGTTACTCCACAATAAAAGTAACTAGTTACTAGTAAAAGTAACTATTGCGTTACTTTTGCGTTTCTCGCCCCCGTAACCCTCACCACCCAGCCCCCACCTTCTCGCTGTGTGTTTCAAAGCCAGCTGAATAGAGCGGACGACAAAGACAAGAACCTGCAGAGAGTTTTGCATTTATTGCAACTCAACGTAAATGACATCGGGGGGGAACGCCATGGGAAGTTTTTTAACAGGGCTTTCAGATCTGGTGAAATTAATAACTGGGGATGTCTAATTCTGAAATCCTGTGTGTTTGGGTTGTTATAGATACTGCAACATCTATCTATCATCTATCTATCTAGATCTATACTCTGTGTGTGACATAAAATATGGATCTCCATCACTGCCACAAAGGCCATCAAATAATGTTTAAAATAAAAAATACAGTAGGTTGAAAAGGCAGAGTATCCATCATCCATCCATCCATCCATCCATCCATCCATCCATCCATCCATCCATCCATCCATCCATCCATCCATCCATCCATCCAGATTTCTCCCTTTCATTTGATCGTTCACGCTCTCCATAGTTCCCCTGTGGCGCGAGCACAGGGCGACGGTTGCGCGCCTTTAGCGAGCATGTGCGTTTCCTGTCGCGTGTGCGGTGAATCGTGCCGCCTGCGCTGTGCGGAGATGCAGGGGAAACCGTACAGTGGGGACTGGTTGGAAATGGACGGTTTCCTGCGTGATTCCTGTGTGATTCCCTCGTGAATCACGTTGTATTTCCTGAGGCCAGTTTTTTTATTTCAAAAAGAACTGCAATGTACCCGGACAACCACCAGGTGGCGCTTGGGACCTCTGCCGTGCTGAGGGTGACGTTTGTGGGCCTGCAGTCAACTGAAAAGCAGGTTTATTGGGGATCTTGGTGTGATACTGTGCTATTTTATTTTGTTTTTGATTAAAATAAAGTTAATGAATTAATTTAACATAAGATTATGCAGTCAAGTGACTGCATAATCTTATTTTATGAAAATGGTTGCGTAGTTATAGATACACCTCCGATCTTATCTGAGAACTGTTATTTCTATTTATCTGCATCGCTATTATTTAATGAAAAATAAAATTAATTAAGTTGGAGCCGGGGATACGGACTGTAGCGCAACCAGAGAAAGGCGACAGAGACAGTGCTGCGGCTGGTGATGTTGAAATTAAAATCATATCCAAAGTTGATTCCTCATTAAGATAAGCCAAAGTTATTCAAAAGGGTATGTAAGAAAATATATTTTCTTTAGTTTTGTAAAATATAAGTGCCGTTGAAAGCTTTGTTTTTGTGTGTTACTTTCTTGCCGTGCAATACGTGACACCCCTCCCAGTCTGGTCAAGTAGCAGACTGGGAGGGATGTCACGTGGTGCGAACTTATAGCGCAGTGGTTAAGCTGAGTGGTGTGTAGACTAACAGCTTGTGGGTTCAATCCCAACTGTGGCCGAGTTGCCTTAAATGTTTTTTTTTTGTTTTTTTTATAAAGCATCTTAATGCACCTTTTTCCTCCCTGTTTGCACCTCCAGTAACTTCTATGCCAATATGTGACGAGTGAATTTCTCCGCTGTGAGATCAATAAAGCTCATCTAATCACATCTACTCCAATCTAAATAAATAAATAAATATACACATGTTCAACAAATAAATAAGCATTCAATTAATTACCCCCAATAAATGGTGAAATGATATGTTCTCATAATAAATCATTTATTTAAAAAATGCTGTTATGTTCCTTTTTTTTAAAAATTCCTTTTAAAATGCTTAACTATTTTTATTCTTTTATTTTCTTTCAAAAAATCACTAGATTTTAAAAACACTCATAGGTTTTGAAAGGTATTATATATATATAGAAACTAAAACGCTCGGATCTTTCTGTCATTTTGTGTGCGTGTGAAGCATCTGCAATGTTTTCGTTAAATATTCAAATAAATAAGATGGACTTTAAACTAGCAGACACGTTTGGATTTTTGCCATTTAATTTTTTTATTTAATTTTAAAAACGAAAGAAATGGAAATGGGGTTTGACGAAAACCAGAAATATGGTCTGCCTGCATTCATGAACAACTTATGTTTGTGAGACCCCCTACCCCTCAGGACCCCCGCCTAATCAGTGCAAAAAATAACGACAAATGGCTTTAGCAGGTTATTCAGAGTTGACGCGGTACTTTGCAGACAACTTACTCTCTTGTTCTCTGACAATAGAATTCAACCACCACCATTTACAGAGACCCCCTCCCCCTCACATCTATACCGTATATCCAGGTCTGGGACGGATTTTAGCAGGGGCTTACCGGGGCTGCAGC